CGCCACCGGCCCCGCCGCCGCCGCCGCCGCCGCGGCCACCCCGGGTCGCGCCGCCGTCGTCTCGATCCTCCCCGCCGGCGGCGGCGTCCCCGCGCGCCGGCTCCGCGCCGCCGTCATGTTCCGCCCGGCGGCCGCGGCCGCCACCGACGTCTGCTTCGTGCGGCACCGCGACACGGTGCACTCCCTGCGGCTCCTCGACGGCCGCACGCAGTGGACCAACGCGGAGCCGGTCGTCGCGGGCGGCGACGGGAGCGCTGGCAGCGGCGGCGGCGGCGGCGGAGCGAGGCTGCGCGAGCCCGCGGGCCGGGTGCTCGCGGACGTCGGCGGGTTCGTGTTTGTGACGGACCGCGGCGGCGGCGTGCGGTGCGTTTCGGCGGCGACGGGCTCGACGCGGTGGACGCGGCCGACGCGGCACGACGGCATCCCGCACCTCGCGTCGGCCGCCGTCGGCAACGGCGAGTCGAACCGCAGCGACGTGTACAACGCGTACGACCGCGGCACCGTCGTCACGGAGAACCGGCCCGACGAGCGGAAGGGGATACATTATTGAAAAAAAAGGGGAAGTGGGCCCTCGCCCTTAGAGGGGTTTTTGCGCCGTTTTCTTTTTTGTTCCTTTATTTTTCTTATTAGGCCTCTTCAGACTCTTGTTTTTCTCAATCGTTTTTTTTTTTCTTTCGCCTTCCACAGGACGCTGCTTCGTTTCTTCTCGTCCTTCTTCTTTGATTTTCCCTCGTTTCCAACTCCCTCTTCTTCTCGCCATTGACTCGCCACCTCATACTCGCGACTATCGTTTCCCCTCTGCGGGTCACATCCCCAACACCCCCTCCCCGCCCCCTCCAACCAACTCTCTTTCCGCTCACACAAAGCCTTCCTCTTCGGTTTTCCTTTTTGTTTCGTGCGGGACCAATTCGTAACCTCTCTCTCTGTCGCTTTTTTTATAAAAAAGAGTTGAACGGGATGAAGCGGGGATTGGCGGGATTGTGGGTTTGTGGGTTTGTTGGGAGGTACAGGGGGCAACCAGCTTATTGCAGGGCCGGAGTGCAGGACTCGAACTGGCCCTTGTTGGCAGCTAGTAATGGGCAAGGGGTTGAGGGGATTTGAAGGGAACGTCACGAGGAAATGCATTGGGCCACTCGACAATCTGTCTCTCTGTGCCACTCTCGGACTTTCTCTGTCTCTCTCTGTCTCTCTGCCTCTCTCTCTGTCTCTCTCTCTGCCTCTCTCTCTCTCTCTGTCCCTCTCTCTGTCTCTCTCTCTCAGTCTCTGTCTCTCTCTCTCTCTCGCTCTCTCTCTCTCTCTCTCTCTCTCTCTCTCCCTTTCTCTCTCCCTCTCTCTGCTATCCATCGATGATCAATCTCGGCCCGACGCCAGCCAATTTCCCTACAACTCTTTTCGTTGGTCACACGCCCCCGCTCTGTCTCTCTGTCTCTCTCTGCATCTGCCTCTTTCTCGCTCGATGATTGCGGAGATCGAAAAATAGCGACAGCCTGCCCCAGTCCCCTGCCCAATAACACACCCTCCTGGCAATCGAGCAATCGATCGACCGACGAAAAAACCAAGCGGGTAACTGTTATAACAAGCTGCCCTTCGGCCTGCCCTCCTCCTCCTCCTCTCCTCCTCAAAGTCCGCAGCACCCAGCCAAGCCAAACGTGCGCGCACCCACACAAACACACAACAACAAACACAAAATGGTCTACACCATCGTCGTGCACCTCTACGCCAAGGACGACCCCGTCGCCATCGAAAAGGTCAAGAACAAGCTCATCGAGGCCAGCCAGGTCTACTCCAAGGACCGCGAGACCATCTCGTGGTTCGTCATGCAGGACCACATCGACCCGCGCGCCTTCACCATCGTCGAGCGGTACGAGCAGGAGTCGGTGAGTTTGTTGTTTGTTTTGGACTGGTGATGATGATGGGAGGGTCGAGAGAGGGGCCCTGTGTGTGCCCATGTTGCGTGTGGCTGTGGCTGAACATTGTCGGACCCCCCCCAAAACCCCTAACAACCAAAAAAAAAAAAAAAAAATCAAAAAAAAAACAGAGCCAGCAGTACCACCTCGGCAACCCGTACTGGAAGACCTTTGACCCGTACGTGATCCCACTGCTCGACAAGCCCATGGACCTGCGCCGCTTCCACGAGCTCGACACGTCCAAGGAGGTCAAGGTCGTCTGAGTGAAAAGAAAAGAAAAAAAAAGACGCGTTTCTTTGGGATGTGAACATACAACTGTACTGTACCTGTACAAAAAAAAAGAATAAAAAAAAATTGGGGGTTACACAATTTGAGGGCATACCAACACACACCACACCACACACACACACACACGCCCTTTCAGTTTACCCACCCCAAAAAAACATCCCACTGGCGGAGCGGAGCGAGCAAAAGCCAAAAGAAGGAGATGCACAGCCGAAGATTGGAGGAAGGTTCAGCCTTCGCTCAGAAAAAAAGTTGGCGACCAATTGCAGCCTTTTTTTCACCAACACATTGAAAAAACGGAAAAGGCGGGCCGCACAATTTAACAAGGCATCAATCGAGTCGGCCCCTGAATCATTATGTCTCAATTCTGGAGCCTGAACCTATTGTGACTGTCAGTTATCGTTCTCACAATGCCCATGGGAGAGCGAGCCACTGCCAATGCAGACCTCGGCGCTGGCTTGTGCTGATGACAAATACTCTGAGTATTAAGTGGAACAGAAACCCAGTGTCAACAGTTTTCCTCCTCCTCTGCTCAAGCAGATAATATAGGAGAGGTTTTTACCCTGTGCCAGTCACACTTGCCTAGCAACTATTACAGCATGCATATCATCATTATGTATCAATAATTCATAACAGAGTTTTGTCTCTTTCTCTTGAAGTTGGGGAGAAGGACCACCCACAAACACATCTCCACTTCATTCACTCCTTCCACTCACTCACTCAGAGTAGACTGTTTACAATAGGCGACAAACAGGTTCCCCAGGAAGGAGCACAGAAATGAGACGAGTCAAGGCGTCAGGACCTTACAGTGACAACCAGCCAACCACCCACCGGCAGGCAACAAGTGGCTGGTTCCTCCCAGACGGGGAATCGAACCCCGATCGCCGCCGTGAAAGGGCGGAATCTTAACCGTTAGACGATCTGGGAATTGCTCTCAGAAGGACTCTAGAGGTTGACAACGGTGCCTAGATTAGGAGCATCTGCTCCAGGCCGCAGGCACGGCCCAGCTTGGAACTTCATGCCCACCTAAAGCCACTGACAAGTTTGCAGGCTCCGACTGTTGCACAAACAGTTGCAATGCACAGTTTCCAGGCTTGTTAGCACAAAGGGAAAGTCGAGATCTTTGAGCGCCGCACTTTTATGGAGGCTCTGGTGGCTTAGTTGGTTAAAGCGTCGGTCTCATACCTGCAATTCCCTGGTCACACCCAGGTGTATTGCACAGACATCCGAAGGTCGTGAGTTCGACTCTCACCCAGAGCATTGCATTCTCCCCTGGTAACTTGCCGATGTCTTGCTGCGCCTTCTGCCTGGCGTACCATGGGTGCTCGCTGCTGCTGCAGCTCTCAGGGGGGTGGGCCAGTTTCAGCGCCACAGAAAGCAGTCTGGTACTACTAACTCCACCTTGGTCCCCAGAGCAGCTTCTCATTCTGCCTGATAGAACGTTTTGCTGACTCTTGTTTCATCCTTTCAAAATTTGCATGCAAGATTGCTGCATTGGACTGTCTTTGTACACACACCTCCAAGTCGCCCACAGCCCACCAGCCAACACACAGTGAACCGCCTCTGGTGGCAGTGTGTTTGTTAGCGTACGCCCTTGACTGCATTTAAAAAAAAAAAGGTATCAAACAAGCGTTGTGAGCCATCAACTGTGTGTGTGCGCCTGTATGGTGACAGACTCAAGAGTTGCCGATGGTGGTGTTGATGTCGCAATTGATGGTGTGCTTACTGCTGAGCACTGATGACCGATTTGTCTGGGAGGGTGGTGACTGTGGGGTCAATGTAGCTGATCAATGACATGAGTGCCTGGTCCCCACGAAGAAGGTGCTGCATTTTGATGGTTGCCAAAGAGGCGGCAGACAAGTAGGTGCTGGTAGTTTAGTGGTAAAGTAGTCGCATTCCATCTTGAGGAGAGAGCATCAGCCCTTGGTTCAATTCCCGGTCAGAGAGCACAGTAACGGCCATACATTCTGCTTGTACTGGATTTTTTTGTCTTTTCTTTTTTTCTTTTTTTTTTTCTTTTCTTTTTGTTTTGATTGTTTGTCCACAGCGAGAAGGATGCAGCAGCAAGCAACAGAAGAAGTATGCTTGCTTGGAACCCCTACTGTTCTTCTGGCCCAGAGACTTTACGAGTCTCAGTCTTATCACCAGCAGGCAACAGTGGTTCAGTGGTACCGATTCCCGGCTGTTGCACTCCCTTGGAACAAGTTTTCGGGTGGATGGAAACAGACTTGGGAGATGTGGGGACAGCAAGAAATGTTTCTCTGCCAAAGCAGCACCGCCACGGACTCACTTGGAAAGCGTGTTGGCGCCTCGTTTGCCCAAGTAGTACAGATGGACAGTGTTTGTCTTGGCTGCGTGCCCTTTTTCTTTGCATGGTTTTGGTCAGACGGGTCCCTTGGCCCATCCTCCTCAGCTGTGTTGCCCATGCTGGACAGCTGGTGGATGCTTGGCCTCTGGGCATTGCATGTCCACTTGGGAAGGAAAGGAAGGAAATTGGGTTCAATTTCAATCCCCCAAATGCAGTTTCTGATGCCTGATGCCTCTCTGTGCAAGGAGCAGATACGGACTTGGCATTATTCAGCTGGGGATGCCAAGGAATCCATTCCTTTTTTGGAGATTGTCTGGTGAAAATTTCGGTTTAGGGCCTCTGCCCTTTTTATTTATTAATTTTTTTTTTCATTCATTTATCTTGTTTTTATTTATTTATTTATTTTTTCTTTTGCACTGATGATCTCAGCTTGATGGCTGAAGTTGACAAAAGTTGCACTAAAAAGGGCAAAAATCCATAAAAGTCAATGCGCTATCTAGGCTGGTGTAGCAAAGTGGTATTGCGTTCCCCACCTAAGGGAGATCGTGGGTTCTATCCCCACCATGGGCTTATGCCCGTTGGGGCCATGCTGCTGTGTGCCAGAGAGTGTTTTCCCCCCCTCTCCCACTCCAAAAAGCAAGAAATCCCACTGGGCAGTGTCGAGCTTGACTCTTGAGAATGTTCTATGGTGTTTTCTTGGTTAGGTTTTTGAGCTGTGCTCTGACAATCATGGTGCTCCAGGGTGGTCAGATGGGACCTTGGGAGGGGGTTTTGTTTTTGTGTTTATTTTCATTTTTTTATTGTTATTTTTATTTTTAATTTTTATTTTATATATATATATATATATATATTTTTTTTTTTTTTTTTTGGATTGGATCAAATTTTGAATTTTCATCCAGCTGGCAGCAGGCGCTCCTTGCCAAGCTCCTTGCCAACCCCAAACCTCTGTACTCCACACTAGCCTGAAACTTCACCAACAGAGCAGTGGCTGCATGCAGCGTGCTTAAGCAGCAAGGTGGCCCAGCGTCCAGCGGTGGTTGCAACAGGCTTATGCGTTTTCCTTGGCCGTCTGGTCGATTTGGGTTTAACTTCTATTCCCCAAATGCAGTTCTGGGCGCATGGTGGAACTCTTGTTGCGAATGACAAAGCGGGTCCGCAGAGACGCTGGCCAAAGACTGTCACCCACTGGAAAAGGAAGTGTGGAAGTACAGTGGCTCACAAAATTGTGCCAATGTTTTTGCCACAATGACAGTCTCTGCTCAAACACACTCAATAATGTAGTACAGACACAAAACTCAGCTCAGTTACTCTCAGAGATCTGCTCTATCAGCTGCGTAAGTGCCACAGACATACTGTACATATTGTCCAAGAGGCAGAGTTGAACGTGCGACTACGCCATTGGCACAATTTTTTGTGTTGATGTTGTCAGGAACAGGGCAGGACAGGACAGAACTGAGAGGAGTGATGATTGTATTGGAAACAATAATTCACTTGAGGGATGGGACAGGTCCCCCATCCCCCTTTTATACCTTTTGAGAGTGTTCCTTGTCAAGACTCCAAGAAAGTTCCAGAAAGAGCAATTAGTAATGCAATGATACCAATGATACCAATGACAACAAGACAAGTCAGGAAAGCAAAGAAGGTTCCAGAAGGTTCCAGAAGGTTCCATGAAGGAATGTTCTAGAAGGTTCCAGAGGTTTCCAGAGGGTGATTCATAACATACAGCTCGAACCAGAGTGGAGTAGAGAGTTTAGTGTACTGTCCACCATTTGCTTGGGTGGGTGGGTGCTGCCTGCACTGCTCAATTTTGGCAGGCCCTGTGCAACAGCTCGTGGATGTTGGGAGAGGGGACCAAACGATTTCATCCAGAGGCTGCAAGAGATTTCGCCATCCTCTTGCATGTATATCACAAAAACCTCTCAGTTTCGCCTCGGGAGACCACAGAGCGATCCTTTTCAAACATGCTCTCATTGGCCAAATTCGAGCACCAGCTGAACCTTCCTGAAAGCACTCCACCCGCCCCATCACCGCCCGAACACCCCTCCCCCCATCGTGATCCCCTCACTCGACGCCCAGTCATAAATAACTCCTTCAATCGTACTTCTTCTTAATGGTCCTGATGTGGGCCGACAGCATACTAGTGACCAATTCGCCCATTGGCCTCGCCATGCCAACATTGATATTCTGCAAAAAAACTCGCGCAAACCCCCCCTGCGATCGACCTCGCAACGCGATCACCAGCCAACGAAGAATCCACCAGCTCTTAGAGTTTGCCCAGAGGTTTGAGAATCATTTCATACAGATGCTGCAAATCTTGTGTCATTTGAGGTGGTGCACACCAAAAAAAGTCATACCTCAAAAAAATATCAATATTGAGATCGAAAAATGACGATATCAATATTGATATCTGACTTTCTGCGTGCATCATGCCCCAAAACTGGCGATCATCGGGTCAAACTTTGTGCATTTGTTCTCCTGCTCAAGGCAATCCTGCTGATACCTAACTTGGTCCTGATCACCCCCTTCATTTCGTGCCTCTGGCCTTCAAATCTTGAAAGCACCCAAAAATGACCGACGGAAAAACTGACCGATCTCTCAAGGCACCTCAGGGTTTCTTTGACAGCTGGGAATGAATGAGACTGCAGCCACTACTCATGTTGCTTCCGCATCACTTGACACAGTGATGGGTACAGCAGCCTCTGCCATTGTTGTGGCATCTTCCTTAGTTGACTCTGCCTTGGTTGTGGCGTTGTCCTCAGCAGATTTTGGCTTGGTTGTGTCGTCGACCTTGTCAAACTCTTTGGCAGGCTCAGGCAGTGCTTCAATCCCTGAGCCCGCATTTCCCAAATTCGTTGAAAACGAAGGGCCAACGGTGAATTTGGATGAATTGGAGGAAGACCTTGAGGGAATTCTTGACTTTGGTGCAATGATTCAAGATCCTCCTGGTTCATGGGTCCCTGATGCTGTCGTGGGAGTTGCTCTCCCTTTCCAGAGCCGCGAGCCCAATGGACATCCATCCAATAAGCTGAAGTTTAAATCTACTGCAGACCAAGATACTTATGCCCATGAAAGGCTTTTCTTACTTTCTGGAATGAATTGATTGAGAAGTTGGGTGTTTCATTCACCAACACAAACTATTTTCAAAAAGCTGGGGATGGTGCTTCTGAACTTAAACTGAGCCAAACAGCTGAAAACAATGGTTCTGAAGCTGCCAACTGGAAGCAGCTGACAGTTCAAGGGCTGAGTGTTGCTGTGCTGTTTTGGAGTGGTTGATGATGTTTGGAGTGCAGATGTGTTACTTCACTGCCAAGCAACAGCTAGTTCAGGAATTTCAGCGCGTTGATTCGCGATATTCTTGGGAATCTGCATGTCAGGAACAGGGCAGGACAGGGCAAGGCAGACAAGGAACTGAGAGGAGTGATGATTGTATTGGAAACAATAATTCACTTGAGGGATGGGACAGGTCCCCCATCCCCCTTTTATACCTTTTGAGAGTGTTCCTTGTCAAGACTCCAAGAAAGTTCCAGAAAGAGCAATTAGTAATACAATGATACCAATGATACCAATGACAACAAGACAAGTCAGGAAAGCAAAGAAGGTTCCAGAAGGTTCCACAAGCTTCCATGAAGGAATGTTCTAGAAGGTTCCAGAAGGTTCCAGAAGGTTCCATGAAGGAATGTTCTAGAAGGTTCCAGAGGTTTCCAGAGGGTGATTCATAACATCATCTCCCCCTTTTAGGCCTCTTCTGCAACTTGGTGGGGTACCTGGTCTTGAACTCGAGCAGAAGGTCTTGGCAGTGAGTGAGGTTTGACTCAGGCTCCCAGGTGTTGTCAGCATCTGAGTAACCTTTCCACTTAACAAGGAACTTGAGTGTTCTTCCAAACCACTTGGCATCCAAGATTTGTTCAACCTCAAATTCCTCTTCACCTTCTACCTCAACTGGAGGAGGAGGAGGAACAACTCTGCCTGGAATGGAATTGGCCACAAACTTCTCTAAAAGGCTGACATGGAAAACTGGGTGGATCTTCATGGATGCAGGGAGATCCAGCTTGAAGGTGACTGGATTGATTTGCTCCAAGATCTTGAAAGGTCCCAACTTGAGGTTGTCTAGCTTGGGACTTGGTCTTTTGGTCTGCAAGTTCTTCCTCAGAAGCCAAACTTGCTGACCCACAGCAAGGTCATGGTCCATTCTGTGAGTGTTGGCAAATCTTGAGGCATCTTCTTGGGCTTGCTTCAGGGTGGAGTCCAGGAAGGAGTTGATGATCTTGAGCTTATGTAAGTGTGAAGCCGCAGCAGGAGCTTGGACATTGGATAGGGTCTCTTGTCCCAGAAGATCTCCTCTTGGATTGAAGCCATAGGTTGCAAAGAAAGGAGATAGCTGGGTGCTTGAGTGGAGAGAATTGTTGAGAGCAAATTCTGCCAGTGGAAGGAGGGTGGGCCAATCATCCTGTTGATAGCTGACATAGCACCTCAAATACTGCTCCAGAGTCTGGTTTGTTCTTTCTGTTTGTCCATCAGTCTGAGGGTGATAAGCAGTTGACAGTTGAGACTTGATTCCAAGGGCTGCTGTGAGTGCTTTCCAAAATTGAGATCTGAACTGTGGTCCTCTGTCACTGATGATTGACTGAGGCAGCCCATGGAGCCTGAATATGTGCTGCAAAAACAGGTCTGCTGTTCCTTGTGCATCTATATTCTCAGTGCAGGGGATGAAATGGGCCAACTTTGTCCTTCTGCAGATGACAACAAGGATAGAGTCAAATCCATGGGATGGGGGCAGTTTCACAATGAAGTCCATGGATATTGATGACCAAGGGCTGATGGCAATTGGGAGGGGCTCCAGAAGTCCATAGGGCTTGTGTCTGCTGGATTTGTTTCTTTGACAGGTTTCACAGCTGCTGACATAGTTCTTGATGTACTTCCTCATGCCTGGCCAGTAGAAGTCTCTGGAAACAAGCTCATATGTCTTGTGCTCTCCTGGGTGTCCAGCTGTTGCTGCATCATGCCTTGTCTTGAGTATCTCAAGTTTTTCCTCTTCTTGGCTGATTTGAATCTTGTGAGGCTTGGGGTCCTTGGAAATAGCATGGGCCCACACACTGTCAGGAAGCAATGAAAGGTGTGTCTTGGATGGTGGGGTGAAACCATCTCCCCCTTCAGGTGCAAGGTCTGTTCTTCTTGACAGGGCATCAGCCACAGTGTTAAGGTGGCCAGGAGAATAGCACAGCTTAAAGTCATACTCAGAGAGCAGTTCAGCCCACCTGGCATGCCTCTGCTTGAGCAACCTCCTTGCCCTGAAGAAGGTGAGGTTCTTGTGATCAGAATAGACAGAGATGCCTTTAGAACCAGCCAAGTAGTGTCTCCAGAATTTGAATGCTTCCACAATTGCAAGCAACTCCTTGTCATGGACTGTGTAGTTACACTCAGCACTGTTCAGCTTCCTGGAGTAATATGCCACTGGATGCAGAGGAGCAGAGGGTTCCTGAGAGCTTGGCTGGGACAGAACACCGCCAAGGGCATAGTCTGAGGCATCAGTTTCCAAGGTGAAGGGAAGCAAGGGATCCACATGCTTAAGG